TGCAAATTTGATAAACTTGATCCCCGACGCTGAATTCTTGTTATCAGCATAGCATTTTGACAACTCTAAATTTTTGTACCTTTTTATGTCCTTAAACTCAATTTTTGCCAACATTATCCCCGTTCCCAGTAAGAGGCTATTGGAACTTTCTCCTATAAATACTTCAGATGGCAGCATGCTAATTGAAAAGTGATAGTTGTTGTTGTACGAAAATTCAATCAACTGATCAAGGACATCTCGCTTGTGCAGGACTTGTTCCTGCAATATATTCTATAATGTTTGAATTGTATGATTAGATTGACTATCGATTTGGTTAAATGCAAGCAATAAAATTGAACCGAGTCCCTAGCATTTGATGCAGGCTTTTTAGAAATTTTTGCAAGGTACCTTGGACCACGATATGAGGCAATTGATACTAGTATTCCCTGGAGTCAAACTACTTTTCTTGTATATAAGAACTGCCACATTGTTCCATTTTGTAGGTAGTTTGCAAGGGTAAGAAAATGGGAAGCTTTTGTGAGTCTATTATCACATCTCTAAATCATGATCAAAAAAATTTTCTTACCTAACCAGGATTTTTCCCGCCTAAACTCACTAATCTGATACTCAATATAAGCAACGAAAATTGCCATTTAGGAGAAAATTATTCAAAATTTGTATGCCTTTCTCCATCCCTAGTATGTCTATTTTATAGATTTCTAATCTAGTCTTAGGGTAATGGGTCTTTTTTGTTGGTGACATGTGGCATCTACTGATTGTCTAGCTTCTAACTGATTTTGTTCTTTACTCAATATCTTGCTTCTTGCTCAAAGACCTAGGAACAATGTCTTGCTTCTTGCTCTTCCAAAAAATAAGGAAACCTCCAAGAAAGATACAAAAGCTAGTGGTAGATCGACAATCTATATGATCACTAGCCCAATTGCCATCAGAAAATTCTAGTGATGAAGTAGATGAAAACAAGGCTTTGAAATTGGGTGCCACAAAGATATTGCAAAATGCAAAGAATAGTAGCCCAATGAATTGTAGTGGGTGAAGTAACGAACTAAGTAACGATGTGAACAGCATTTTTCAATATCTGGATGAGTGATGATGAGATAAGTTAAGCTACCAACAACGGTACAATATAAACTAGGATCAGATAATGGGGAACCATCGGAAGAAGAATATCGAGCATGAAGCTCAAGAGTTAAATCAACAGTCTTATTATTAGTAAGATGAGCATGCTCAAATACATCTGCTATAGACTTGGAAAGAGAAAGAAGATAACCTATTGGAGAGGATGCAATTTCAATACCCAGAAAGTAACGGAGTAAACCCAAATCTTTTTATTGTAAAGCAATGAGCTAACTCTAACTTTAATGCTGTAATATTGTTAATATCATCACCAGTAATAATTATGTCGTCAACATATAAAGAAAGCAAAACACGATTGACGACTTTACATCTATAAAATAAAGTTGAATCATGATGGCTAGGACAGAAACCAAGTGAAGTAATCACAGTGGAAAACTTCTCAAATCAAGCTCAAAGTGCCTGTTTGAGACTGTAGAGAGCGTTTCGAAGTTTACAAACTTCTCCAGTTGATGGAAAATGCCAAGAGGGAGAACCATATAGACCTCTTCCTATAGATCTCCATTCAAGAATGCATTTTTAACATCCATCTGAGTTATACTCCCTCGACGAACAGAAGCAATTGCTATAAAGGTAGGAACTCCTGAGAATACTCATTTGCATCTAATCAAGCTTTATATCTTTCAACAGATTTATATAACTTCGTTTTGATTTTATGGACCCAACGAGAACTAATTGCTCGTTTTGCTGGTGGTAGAGATACCAAGTCCCAAGTATGTGTCTGATGTAGAGCAATAAGTTTCTTAGCCATAGCTTCGTGCCAAAGTGGATCACAAACTGCCTCTCTATAGGACAAAGGCTCAGAAAGACGATGAATAAAAGCTAAAAAAAATTAAAAAACCAAAGCAACAAGAGTAAGCAAAGTCTGGTAATTGAGAGGACTTATGAGTATGCGTAAGATAACAAGGAGGAGGAGCCACAGTCTAAGACCTACAAAGAGAATAATATTCCTGAAAAACTAATAGATGGCAAACCTAAAGAAGAAGCAGACATTGCACGGGGCAGTGTTGCATTTGATTACGATGTTAGAAACTTTTGAAACTGCTCAAAATTAGTGGATCTAATGAAGGTGCAGCTACTGCAGTATTAAGTTGAGGTGTTGGTTTCCAAATTGCCAAGGAGGAAAAACTCATCGTTACTATTGTTGTTGGGGCCATTGTTGTTGCTATCGTTGTTGAGGTTACTGATGTGTAGCTCTATTCAACAATAGAGGACATTATCCCTTTTAGTGACCTTTCTGCTTGTAGAAAATGACTTTTATCATGTGCAACATTCAAAGGCGAACTACTTTGATTACTGGCATGTGACCTCTGAGGTGCTTTGAATATAGATGGAGTAGTAGATGATGGAGCAGTCCCCTTGTCTGCGTGAGATTTAAGGGATATCTCCTTAACCAATAATTGACTAACCACAGAGTTAACAAAAGGAGAAAGACTAAGATGTAAGATTGTTCCACGAAGTCTCTCAAAATCATCACATAGCTCCATCAAAGATTGAACCAATAGTTGTTCTTCCCGTCAAGCGATAAAAGGTTCTTATAATCTACAGGTTCTGTAAGTGCTAATTGATCCCATAAATCCGTCATAGAAGAATAAAATTCCTGAATACTCGTACTACTTTTCTATTGAAGAGCACAAATATCTGTCTCTAACTGATACTATTTTCCAAAATTAGACTGTGTGTATATTCTAGATGAGTGCTCCCAAACTTCCTTAACAATATCATACTTAGCCAATTGTGTGCTATCGATTGCACTACATAATTATTAATCCAAACAACAATCTTCGAATTATAATATTCCCAGGTATCTACGACTCTACATAATTGACGTCCTTGTCATTTTTTGGTTTAATGGAAGTGCTCGAAACATTAGCTCATATCTGTTTGCCCTTCAAAAAATTTCTCATCACATAACTCCAATAAGAATATTTTTTCCCATTTATTTGCACATTAATAGACTGAAGAGAATCATCCTAACTTCCAGCCATTGCAAAATAAACAAATAACAAACAATATGAAAAATACACAATATCGAGATGCAAAATCAAACCAAAACCAAACAAGAATTAATGAAAGCCAAATCACAATCAGTATCCAAAATTCAAAATACAGGAACGTATATCAATTCAAACCAATTCCCAACTTTAAAATTATCTAACCAATTTGATTGAATTTCAAATTCCGACTCCAATGAAATTCCCAACTTTGAAATTATCCAACCAAATTAATTGAATTCCAAATTCTGGCTCCAGTGCTATAGTACATATTCAGCCAATTCAATTTAATTCCAGACTCTAACTCGATGCAGCATTGTCCAAAATCAACATACGAGTGCACGGAAAAAAGACATTAGAATTCACAACATTTTCCTCCAAATCGAATTCAAAATAACAACACCAACCTTTATATTGAGAATAACGTGAAACTAGTGGATGAATCTAATTCAAATCGCTGTCAAGAATTTGCTCCAAACGAAAATTTCAGATTATTTTCATTCAAAAAGCCACATGATGTCTACCAAAAACACCTAATGTCAATGGATGAGATATAAAATTCTTTAACAACCAATTTCATAAGATGGCGGCTCTGATACTATGTTAAACCAACAATACAAAAATATAGATAGAAAAACAAAAAGGAGGCTAGGGTTTATTGATTAATCGAAAGAATGAAAATACAAGAAAATAAAGTTTTAAATAGTAACATGAGTAAAATGACTAATCCACCCTTAAGATAAAATAAAACCAATAAATTTAACAATATGTAGGTTGAACTTTCATTGCTGGGATCATATTTTATACTGGAAGCATCAATATATCAAAGTTAATTAGTGCAACCAGAAATATAAATAGGTTCACTAATGGATGAAGTTACATCAACATTTGTTATTGAGTTAAGATTGCAGTTGAACATACTTGCAGCCATAAGAGGAAGTGATGTCAACTGATCAATCAATTAAACTGCAATGGCAAGTTAAGGTACCTTTACTTGATCTGCAACCATTATTGCTTTCCTCCTAACTTCCCTTAAAGCGCTTAGAAGGGAAGCACTCTACCAAGAGGAAAAGATTCAAACCTTTCATCTCATATGACTCTAGGGTTGTCCTTGCAAGAATGACTTCTTTTTAAGTAGGGGATTATATGTGTATACAACCAAGAGTATATAAAAGGTAGCCTAATCTCATCTAGATGCTAGAAGAAATTCATTCAAAACATACAACACCTACTTGTTTATTATTTAATACTTTTTATGGTGACATTCCAACTTCTCAATTTGACTAAATAAAAACTGTAATTATTAACCGTATCTACATAAATAATTAAAAAAATATATGAAACAAAGTAACGATATTTTGGTCTTAATTGGTGGGTTCAGTGTATTATATATTCCCCGAACTATAAAGATGCTTTTGAGTGATGTAAAAATTACAGTCCTCTGACATGTGGGGTTCGCGATTATTTTAATAGCGAGCCCCATCCTTTACATACAAGAGAACTGTGCAATTTGTTGTACAATTTGTTATAGCACTTTTGCTTCAAGAAAGTACACGTCGTCTCTCTCCTTCCACACTACGCTCAAAACCAAACCAAACCAAAGGAATCTTTATGGGGTAATTATATTATCACTACAAATTTTATTAAATACACCACAATTTTTTTTTATTTACTAAAATATCCTTAAGTAAAATTACACAATTAGGGTTTTAATATACTTTTTAATTAAATAAATTATTGTTACACCACAAACATAAAACCTAATTTCTTCTTTTCATTTTCTCTTTCATTTTCCTTTTTCCCCTCAAGGTTAGCCGTGGCCATCTATTGGCCATCTTGTAATATTGCGTTGAAGAAATAAAGCCACTACACAGATCACTCATCCTCCTGACTGCTCAACCTATCCAATTTGTTGGTGACAAAATCCTCCAATTGTGCTGCACACTCAACAATTTCCTTCCTTTTCTTGGTTGAGACATTGTGTGCTATCTCCGCATAGTAAGTACTACAATTAAACAAATTAAACAGTCAACAACAATTTAAAAATGCCATAGTATCTTAGAACAAGATAGAAAAATGAATATTGACCTGTTGTGCATCATTAAGACCTCCAGTTCTGAGACATTGTGAACGACAAATTTCTTAAGTCCATCTGGGAGATAGTGGTGGGTTTTCTTTTCTGAACCGTAACCAACGTTTGGCATAAGGGTGCATCCTTCAAACAATAGCAGCAGGAGGAGATGAAGGAGCATCAATCGACCATTCTATATACCTCTATTCAAAGCTTTCTCCTTCGTCAGAAATAGTCTCTATGGTTGCCATCCAGGGAGAGCTCTAATTGCAAGTAAGTTGATATTTTGGCAATGAACGGTCCTGATCTCTTACTGATCTAACCAAATCGGAGATAAAGGGTTGAGAAAAAAGATGATTAATAATGAGAGGATGTGTACACCACATTTTTTTTTTCATTTTTAGTTTTTTATTGTGTTAGGAGTATAGTTGTAAATTTGTTGTGGTGTATTTATTGAAGTTATATTTTAAATGTGGTGTAATTATAATGTGGTGTAATAACTAAATTTTGTGGTGGTAATAAATTACCCATTTTTTATTGATTCTACCGTTAAAACTCTCCTTCACACGCACACACATACTAATAAATGGCAACAACCCCCTCCAAGATTCTAGGGGCATGGGTCTTGGAGGTCCAGGATTTAGTCTGGTGTAAGTTGAGATACCTGGATATAAAAAAAATAAAAAAAAATAAATGGCAACAACCCTATCGGTCCGGCCCAACCTCATCGTTTTGCGCTGCAACCCATTTTGCCAGACCCGGACCAAACCTCGCTGCTTGATTTAACCAATGTAATTAGGAAACTCAAGTCCCATCACCGCTCCCCGTGGGGCTACCGACGCATGTTAGCGACGAAGGTGCAAGCTGAGTCTCAAGCCAATGATTCGATTTATAAATGTGTACAGCCTTCTAATTACAATCAGATGCATTAGTATAGGAGCTATTAAGTTTTGTTAATGCTACTATTAATGCAGTCAATGATGCATGTGATTTTGCTTGAAGGCTCCACCATTCCTTATATGATATTCTCCACATGAATAACCACTCAAATCTCAATTGTTTTCTAATGTAGCCGACCAGGATTGTTAGGATTTTTAATTTGTTTCCTTAAGACCCTCCCTCAAGCTAGGGAGAAATGTAAATGAATTCACAGCTTGTTCCGAAGAGCAATAAAGGCCTCTTTTTACAAGGGCTTTGTGAAGACATCTACAAGTTGACATAAAGATAGAACGTACCACGTAATGAGAGTTCCCATGGCTACATTCAGTTCTGATGGTAGTAATAGCTTGTGGTTGTACATGTTCCATTAGCTCGTTGCTTAGTCGCACGACAATAAGTTCATTTCTTGGTCGATCGACGAGAACTGTATAATTGGTCATATAATCGTGTTTATATAGATACTTTTTTTACAACATCCTTAACTGGGGCGGTGAGAGGATTAGCCCAATTAACTCATTTTTTTGATCGACGAGTAATTGATGGAATTACGAATGGGGTTGGTGTCATAAGTTTCTTTGTAGGAGAAGGACAACAATCTCCTTGCTTGGTCGAACGACAAGAATTGCAATGACCATGATTTCCAATTATTCTATTTGGGTATAATCAAGTCAAGAAATATTGCATATAGAAGTTATTTCTGATTTGAAAGTGAAGCACTGCAGATCCTACTTCACAATTCTAAGTAACAATGAAACGAGCATAGCATCCTTCAAGATTAATACAGCAGGTTGGGGGTTTCGTTTCCCTTCTTCATCTGTTATCTTTTAGCTGGTTTATCATCATTAGCAATGTGACGATAAAGGCCTAAGCTTTTGATTAATGGAAATAATTGTTTTCACCGTTAAATGTGTGAATCTATTATGTGCAATCACCAAGTTCATTGCTATCTGATTTGTTTAAGTTACATCCATTGCAAGTTGCCTTTGCACTTGCTTTACATGTTCCAAATGCCTTAGAGTTTCAGGGAAAACTCATCTTCACAAGCTTATGTACCATCTCCTCATCACCAAGAGATGATATGAAAAATGCTTTTGTCCAGTGATGAGCTTGCCCTACAATGTTGGGTAGCCTCTAAAGTACTATTGTGCTGCCACGACATTTTTGGGGTTATCGAGTTTCAGAAGCAGTGTAATCCCTGTGCAGAAATAAGTGTTGTCTTTAAAGTGAGTGCAGGACTCCAATAGTCTTTCAAGCATATTGTTCCATTTTTATTAGGATACCATACTTCTGTCGCAAACTACATCTTGAGAGGCTCAGAAAGGTAATCATTAGCAAAGTTTTGTAAAAAAAAAAATATTTAAAGAAGCTAGAATGCAAAAAATTAAAAAAAAAATGGCCAGACAGGGGGCATGAAGCTGCTTGCCGGATACGAAAGCTTGTAAATTTAACCCAAAGTCAGAAAAAATCCATCCTAATACCATTAGAATTTTTTAATAGAAAAGTGATGGTGGCTATTTTAATTGATAATAATGTGCTCAATTTATCATGTGCAGCCTTCTGATTACAATCAAATGCTTATTATGGGAGCTATCATGGTCTGTTAATGCTACTATTTATGCAGTCATTGACAAATACAATTTTGCTTGAAGGCTCCACTGTTCCATTTATGATATTCTCCATGTGAATAAGCATTCTGATCTCAATTGTTTCCTAATGTAGCTTACTGTGGTTATTAGGATTTGAATTTTTTTCCTTAACACGCCATTGCTTTAATATCTATTCTTGGTTTGCTAAAATTCACTCTGCCAAGGTAATTGTTTTATAAGTTATAACTTTATAATTTAGCAATAACTTTGGAATATTCAAAATGTTAATTTTATTTTTTTGTTGTGCAGTCATAAGTTGATTAATTTTGAAGTGAAAGGTGTTTACCTATCAAAAATAAGACTGTTAAATCCACAAGGATGAATACTGTGCTGTGAACTTCTTTGCATACAAAGATGTAATTCCTTGAGTGTTGAGAGCAACGAGCTCTCAACCCCTTGCCCCAAATAGATCGAAGTATGTATATATTCACACATGCTTGTTTTAGCAAACACAAGCTAAAGTTTCAAGTGCCTTCTCTGTTACAAGCTTGCGTTGAAGCATAGCTTTTTTTTATTATATATCATGTATATTAATTAACTTATTTTAGATGAACGAGCTTACAGGCATATTACTTGTCTATTGCATTTATTCTTGTGAATATATATATATATAAGCTGCTCATGCAGAGGTTAACACAAAGGAAAGCAGGAAAAGTTGTGAACAACAGTATCTGTTATGCTGATGCTAAACATGTAAATGCTTCAAGAATGGGGTCAATGCCCAAGTGGCTCCAGACTACTGCCGGAAACTCACCTATCACAGTTAAAGTGCCATCTACCAGCAAGTTGGGTGTTCAAGCTGGGGTCTACGGAGCTTTAATGGTCATAATATATTTTAATGGAGCTTCAGTTGACAATTTTGCTCGATAATTTCTTCTTTCTTATTTCCTCTAATTTATACAATGGTGCATAGCTATATATGGAAGTTATACAAGGGAAATAATCCCTGATTTGGTGCACTATACAAAGTAATAAAATATACTAATATAATTTGCCTAATTAACTCTAATATCCCTCCTCAAATTGATGAAGGTAAGTCTACAAGCATCGCGGCAGCGAGTCTGAGATTTGGTGAAAATATCTGCAATCTGTTGAGTAATGGAAACATGAGGAAGCTCGATGACTTTAGACTCATAGGCATCTCAAATGTAATGACAGTCTACTTCAATTTGTTTGGTATATTCATGATACATAAGATTTGTTGCAATCTAAATAGCACTAGCATTGTCACCATGGAGAGAAGTAGGATGTGTTGGTGAAACGCCAAGTTTTGCAAGAATGCCACGCAGCTACACTACTTAAGAGCATGTAGTGGACATAGCATGATATTTAGCCTCAATGGAGGACTTAGAGACACGGTTTTGTTTTTTACATTTCCAAGAAATGAAAACATTACCCAAAAAGATACACCATCTAGTAGTAGATCGACGATAATCAAGACAACTACCCCAATTAGTGTCGCTATAAGCGGTAAGCTCAAGAGGCATCCCACGAGGAAAGAACGAACCACGATGAGGAGTCCCAATAAGATAACAAATAATGCGATGGACCGACCAAGTGAAGATGACGAGGGTTGTCCATAAATTTGCTAACAGTTTGAATCGCGAGAAAGATATCCAGACATGTGATAGTAAGATAAATGAGACTATCTACCAAATTCCGATATAAAGTAGGGTCCAGAATAATATTGCCTTCGTCTTTTCAATATTTAACATTAAGTTCAAAGGGAATATCAACTGAGGAGGCATCAGATAAATCAGTCAAATTGATCATGTCCTGAGTATACTTATGTTGATTTAAGAAGATACCATGTGATGTTGTATGAACTTCTAAGCCAAGAAAATAAGTTAGATGACCAAGATCTTTTATGTGAAAAACTGAGTGAAGATGTTGCTGAAATTTCTGAATGTGAGTACGATCAGATCCAGAGATAATAATATCATCCACATTAACCAACAAGAAAACGATGCTAGTAGGACTCCTGTGTAAGAACAGAGAAGCATCATATCGACTCTTAATGAAGGAAAATCCAAAAGAGTGCTGCGAAAATTGTCAAACCATGCCTAAGGCACCTGCTTAAGACCATACAGAGAGTGTTTGAGTTTACATACAGAATTAGCTAACGGAAGCGGCATACTGGATGGAAGTTTCATACAAATATCCCCTTTAAGATCCCCATGTAAGAAAGCATTCTTCACATTCATTTGATATAAAGGCCAAGATTGAGAAGCAACAAACGATAACAAGAGGCGAACGTTGGTCATTTTAGCAACAGGAGTAAAAGTCTCATCATAGTCAATTCCATACTCTTGACGATTATCCAAGGCAACCAACCGAGCTTTATAGCACTCAAGAGAACCATCATAATGGACTTTCACTGAGTGTACCCATTTACTTCCAATTGATTTCATAGTCTCTGGACATGATACAATATCCCAAGTTTGGTTGGCCTCAAGAACCTCAAGTTCTGCATTCATTACCTGTTGCCAACACTCTTGTTCCATAGCATGTCTATATGAAGAAAGAATGGCAATCGAGTTAAAAGTAGCAGACATAGAGCTATGGGAAGGAAAATCATACCTATCTAGAGGGCGAGTAACACAAGAAGTACGACGAAGAGTGACAGGCGGTGTAAGATCATCTAATGAAGGATCTGATGTCGCAGTTGGAGGATCTAAAAGGCTTGGAGGGACATTCGACTGACAAGTTAAACTCGGGCAAGACAGAGAACACAGGAGTAGGGACAGCAGCTTCTGAGATAAAGAAAGATTGTTTTTGAAAGAAAAAGACATTACGAGAAATCCTAATGCATTGTGCCTTAGGATCATAGTAGACATATCCTTTTTGAGTCCCACCATATCCCAAAAAGGCACACTTAATAGATTGTGGTGTGAGTTTTGTCCTTTTAAGTGGTTGTAAATGAACAAAAAACACATCCAAAAGGTCTTAGATGAGAATATGTAGGATGTTGACCAAAGAGCTTATAAAATGGAGAGACATTGTGGAGAGTGGAAGAAGGAAACCGATTTATGAGATGTACAGTAGTACATAAGACTTCACACCAAAAATGAGAACGAACAAAAGACTTAATCAGAATAGCTCTAACTATGTCAAGAAGATGACAATTCTTGCGTTCTGCTACCCATTTTGTTGAGGATTAGAGGGACAAGATCGCTGATAAATAATATCTTTTGTCTGTAAGAACAATTGAAATGCATTAGATATATATTTCCCTCCCGAGTCAGATCTTAAGACTTTGATTGAAGAGGAGAATTGATTGTTAATGAGAACAAGGAAGGCCTAAAAGTCAGAGAAAACCTCACTTTTTGCTCAAAGAAAATAAATCCATGTAAAGCAACTATAGTCATCGATTAAAGTAACAAAGTATTTATAATGAGCATGAGACACTATAGGTGTAATACCCCATACATCAATATGAACAATATCGAAAATATGCGAAGCATGAGAACCATGAGACGGGAATGGGAAAGTCTTACTTTAACAAGCTTACATGAAGCACAATCAAAAGAGATAGATGAAACCGAAGCTGCATTCTTATTACCAAGCAAACCAGAATTTAACAAGTACTGTAAAACATTAGAGTTGAGATGACCCAATTTTTTATGCAAATCAAAAATATTAAAAGTAGCAGAATTACAAACAAAAGGAAAAGACGAAATCAACTTCGGTGAAATAAAAAATAGACGTCCCTCTTTAGGCCCCCTCGGGATAGTCCTCCTGGACATCTAATCCTACATGACAACCAGAAGAAGAAAAAGACATAGTATACTTGTTATCAACAATTGACCAATAGATACAAGATTAGTTGATAAACTAGGATAGACTAAAACATTCGATAAGTCTGGTGATCTATCACCTACGATTGAGATAGGAAGCATATTACCATCGGTAGTATGTATTTTGAGATTTCCAGTATATGGTCAAAGATTACTAAGCGATCGAGAATCATAAGTCATATGATTGGAAGCACCCAAGTCTAATAACCAGGAAGAGGGAAGAACTTATGGATTATCTAAGACACCTAAGGCAGACAACGCAGAAATGACCATTTGTTGGATCATCTTAGAAGTGATTAAGTTTTGGATAGGACTGGAAGAGCTGGAACTTAAGTAGGGACAACTGGTGGTGTAGGACTAGAGGCAAATGCAGCATAACTTGCCCCAGTCTTGTGTGGAGGATGAATAGGGCATTCCTTAAATGACTTCTCCATGCTTCTTGCAATAATTGCAAACCTTTCGAGGACATTGAAGAGTCATGTGACCAAACCCTTTACAACTGTAACGTTGCACATTAGACATATCCCGAGATTTGGATTTCCCTTGAGCCACATAGGCAATAAAAATCGGTGCTATTTGATTCTGTTGCTGTTCCAAAAAAATACAAGTGATGAGACGTCTTCCTCCCTCGGTAACTTGCCTAAACATCCATCTAGCATTGGGATAGATTCACAATTCATAATACTAGACCTGATGGATTCAAATTCTGTTCATAATTTCATGAGAAACCGATCCCTCTTTCTGACTTCATGTACAGCTTGGACAGCCATCACACTTACAGACGAAATCGAAGCATAGATAATATCTGTATGCTCAGTCCAAAGATTGGAAAACGCAGAATAATATTCTTCAATGGAGCACGATTCCTGAGAAAAATTAGCAAATTCAAATTCCAACTGAAGCCTCCTAGCATTGTTGCTTTGAGAATAGACCTTTTTTAAGAACTCCCACATAGCACGAGATTACTTATAAGGCCTCAAATTAAGAACAATTTGAGCATCAACACACCCAGTCCACAATTTAAGAATCCTTTGTTTTCCAAGCAATATACTTCTCCTTGTCCTTCGCTTGATCGAGAGGTGGAATGCTTCCATCGATGTGTCCCCATAGGTCGCATTTGCCGTCAACCAATAGCTAAAAATAAAATGCCCATGAAGAATAGTTTTTGCCAGTAAAACGAATGAAAACAGGCTCACTCTTCTCAATTGACATGATGATACTGTGTAGAAAATTAATCACAATCCAAATAAATTTTCAATCAAAAAAATCAACCCACTGTCACCGCCAACCAATATTTTTTTCAAACAAACACAAAAAATCCAACAGTCCAACAGAAGCCCCAACAGACGCGCAATTTACCCACTATTTTTTCTAAACTAATCACAGCCTTAAAAAAAAAATAATAATACCCAACCATACAGCCTACAAACAACGACGATGCGAGATGGAGAGGAGAGGAAACAGATGTGCTTCAACCAGAACTGAGCAATGAGCCTACCTGATGACGTTGACAAGAAGAACCGAGAATCAGTGATGCCTGAGATGCGAACCCAGAAAACTCAATCTCCCAAAATAACAACACGAAGATGATGCCGACGAGAAGAACCAAGAATCAGTGATGCCTGAGATGCGAACCCAGAAAACTCAATCTCCCAAAATAACAACATGAAGATGATGCCGACGAGAAGAACCGAAAATCAATGATGCCTGAGATGCGAACTCCGACCGAAGGTTACTATGAACCAAGAGACGATTTGCAGCTACCAGATGACTGCTTGAGTCACGACCTCCGGTGACTAAGAATAGAGAACCAACCCACTATTTACACGCACGAGTAAGTAATTCTAAGGCTTTGATACCATGACAATTTTGCTTGATAATTTCTCCTTTCTTGTTTCCTTTGATTTATACAATGGTACATAGCTATATATGGAAGTTATACAAGGAAAATAATCCCTGATTTGGTGCAATATACAAGGTAATAAAATATACTAATATAATTTGCCTAATTAACTCTAATATCAGCATCTTTAGTGGCCCTGAGTTCTGTGGCTGATGTCCCGGGGCTGATTTTAGCCACTAGTTTTGGTGCATCCTTATACTTCTTGACCAAGAAGAATGTGAAGTTAGGTAAGAAAATAATACTATCCTTTTCCATTAGCCATGAAATTATAAGGTGTTTCTCTTTAGATTTTTTTCACTCTTAATCATTGTTAACTGTGACTGCCTGGTTTGCATCTCTTGACCCTCAGAAAAAACGTAGGCCTGCAAAAAATATCTTAACACCATCAATTCGATTGCAGAAGAAGTAACCAAAGATTGAAAGTGGGGCTTTTAGGATTATGCAGTGAATCATGGATTATTTGCTTCATTGCATGAGCATACATTGCAAGTAATTGTATGTGACCCAATTTTTGCATGTTTGTGAATAACATCCTTTTAAAATCCTTATATTTACAGAAACTACTTAATAATCATGTATGAGTTTAGCAAAATCAATAACCTAATTTGCAACCTTTCTCATGCACCTTCATATGCTCCAAGTCTGAGTCCATTCAGGTCACGTGGTTCTTATGTATTGGGCATAAAAATTTTGTATTTCCAATACTTGCGGGATAGATTTACTTGGAAGCCTGCTCTTTCATTCTGTGTGCTTGTATTTTTTAGTTAGAGACTTGAGTCTCTTTGTGTTGTACGTGTGATGAACCTAGCTGTTTTAGGATTGTTTTTTATGATTATCGATTATATATATGTGTGTGTGTGTGTGTGTATATATATGTATGTACACACACACACACATATATATATATATATATACAGACTTGAGTCTCTTTGTGTTGTACGTGTGATGAACCTAGCTGTTTTAGGATTGTTTTTTATGATTATCGATTGTGTGTGTGTGTGTGTGCCTCTTGATTTCCAAACATATTGTAGTTTCTAGAACACAGGTATTGGCCCAGGAAGGAAATTTGTTATGGTGCTTGAGTGCAAAAAGGATTTATTTCACTACTTTTATTAACTCCTGTTCTGCTTGTAGACATTAAACTTTGGATTGTTGATAGTGTGACATCTATTCATATACATTTCTAGGTGTGTGGAAAGATAACAAAAATACAAGTTAGGGTGTCCAGTTCGGTTGGGTTCTAAAGAGAACCAAACCGATCCAAATCCGAATTTTCAAGTATTTAGTAAATGGAATAGTCGGGTCCAAATTTAATTATGGAATCGTTCGAATTCAATTCGATTCTTGGATTCCATACAATAATTAACTTTTTTAATATTTACAATAACGCTACATTAATTCAACTAATGATATGTTTAGTTTTAACTCTTACAAAATAATGTAATATAATTTTATATATTTTTGGCCTCTCTATGTTAAGTTCCTTATAGATTTGATTGTTAAAATCACAGGAAAAAGAAGATAACGAGCTCACAATAATAAAGAGAGGCGTAGCCGAGCATCCAATTCAATTTTTCCAAAACTATTGAAACACCACTACGATAAAATAATAGATTTGGATAAGACTTAGGTCAATTTAATTAAGTTGGCCTTGGACTGAAAATTAGAAATAGGAAAATTATATTTTGGGTTTAGGCTAAATCAATTACTTAGCAAATTTATTTAGGAAAAAATAAACTAATTTGGCTTATTTAAGATAAATAAATTTTAAAAAAATTAGGGAAATTCAGTTCTTGGTTTTACTGAACCTATTGGTTCTAAATTCATATATCCGTTCAGGTATTTAACTTAAGAATAGTGGTTTCAGTTCGGCCCGGTAGAGTCAGGTTTGGGAATTTTGTCCGTCTCTAATACAAGCTGTTCCTTATCATGGATGGTGATTGAATCAAGATAATTTTGGTTTTCAAGTTAAATGATCTAGGGTGTGATGATAGTGCTCAAGTTTGTTATGATACTTCAGCTTATTATGAGAATTATTGGGGGTTTTGCTTTTGTAGGGAAGGCAGCTGTCATAACAATAGGAGGCCTTGTGACTGGTGCTATTGTGGATTCAGCAGTTGAAAGTTGGTTGCAAGTTTCTTGGCATTCACACACCCGCTACAACTGTGAGCGAATTTGTACTCATTTCTCAATTTTTGATCTCCTTGTACCTGATATAGGACGGGGCAAAACCTTATTACCACTTAAGCCTGGGATAATTGTCTTTTCTAGGTTTTATAGTTGCTTATTTAGGATGTGTATTCCCTTAACCAGTACAAAGATAATGTTCAAGAACCTAAATTAGTGAGAATATTTACTTCTGAAATGTAATGTTACATGGCATTTGCTCTTCAATCCATGGAATTGTCATGTTTACTCTTCACCTTTGAAAAGCATGCAGTGGTCAATCTATCGTGATATTTAAGATGTAGCACAAAAAATTAGACTCGGCTCCAAAATAGCATCGCTTATATTTATCGTTGTTGGGCATAGACCTAATTGTTACAGAAATTGTTGGGAGTAGAAATAGGGTATGTTGCATTACCACAGAAGGCGATTGTAGCCAGACTGGTGTCATTACTGCAGGAGGCTATTGTAACCAAACTGGTGCATGATGATTGCAGTTATAGATGAGGAAGAGTCACAAACAAGAAACCCGTAGGAGAAGTTTGAGAATTGCTTAAGAACAGGAAAAAAGACGAGCAGAATTTTCATGGCTTTAAGGAATAGATTGGGTACAGTAAAAGCCTATTTCTTGATGCCTTTTACTGCTTAGAATGAAGCCAGTCATCCTCCTTTACCATCAATTTAAATGTTTCAGACACAAGGCCAGGACAGATAGAATAGGGAACGTTATGCCCTTGTTTGAGCCCCATTTTTTTAAAAATTCATTTTTTCAAAATTCTTTTTCAATTATACATTCTCTAATAATATAATATTACACATAAATCTAAAATTTTCCTTAATTTTTAACTGCGCATTCTCCATCAATTTACTATTTCAAAATACATTCTTTCTTTAAAATGGGGCTCAAACAAGGGCAAAAAAGTACTTTTTCCATGGAAGGCATAATTCAGATGATAAAATAGAATTAGCCCCTGTTTGGCCCTCATTCTCCTTTTCATTTTTTTGTCTCTCTTATTTTCAACCACACAATCTTCCATAAAATAATATTATACGCAAATTAAAAAAAAATTCATTCTTTTTCAAAAAAACATTATTCCAACCATTAAAATTCGAAACGAATGGGGGCCAAATGGAGGTTTAATTTCCCCAACCTTGTTCTATTTAACAATTAGCTCATATGTGAAAAATAAAAACTTATGCCTCTCAGGACATAGTTTAGTGATGCAAAGGATAGGAGTGAAATTATCTCACGTCTTGCTGACAGTCACAGTGTGGGAGTTCGATTCCTGAGACATAAAATTGGACTCCTTTTCGGCGCAGTGTGCAGACAACTCTTATTCTCTGACCTGTTGGGCACATCCCGAAATTTACCTCCCTCACAAAACTCTAGAGACGAGACGGTAGGAGCCCTCAAGGTTGGGATTCAACCTTTTTTTTTTTTTTTTTTTTTTTGAGAAATAAAAACTTACATAGCCTGCCCCCACATAATTCTCAGACCGGGCCTATAGAACTTGCTGGGATTCTTACCAATAAATATGCAAGAATCAGGAAATCAAGTCTTGCAAAATAAAAAATGAGGCCAAATACCTCAAGTAACAAAACAAGTGCAAGCCAATGACACTACCAGAAATCCATAAATAATTGTGTCTCAGTGAGTTGCTTTGACACAATCTAATGTACAACACTTCAAACTCAACTCGTAGAACAAGAAAAAAGCCTACACAACAATTTTCGCATCAACTGCTGCTGTTTTCTTCATCTTGGGGACACTCAATACGGGATGGTTTGCCAACTTTCTCGGCATTCACAATGTTGTCTAACAAGTCACTATACATACTTAAAGCAGCCTTGGAGAATTCTGTCATAGACTCGAAAACTTTATTAAACCCTGTCTGAAATCCATTTAGCGTGATCCTCTCAGTTTCTTGCACACAGTTATGGTGCTTTTCCTTCTCCAAATCAACCCTTTTCTGGAAATTGTCCAGCGTATCCTTCTTTTCTTTCAAGCATTCATCCCGATGCTCAATCGCTTGCTCCGTGTTGTGGTCCGTGAGTTTGAAATCAAACCTGTTATTCTCAATCTTTTGAAATGCCAGAATCTTTCTATCCAGTTCTCGGGATAGATTGTCAACTTTACCTTTTTGTTGCTGTTCCTTTCCTTTCAGCACCCACAAAGCTCTAACATCCATGCTGCAGCTTTTGATAGCAAAAGAAACTACCTTATCTGGCAACTTGTCCATGGAAGCCAACCAATCACGACAAATCAGGAGAAGTGGTGGTCCATTTAAATAACATGGAGTTGAAGTCGTGCCTCTAGAGTAGAATTCAACTTCAGAGACAACAAACTTAGCCAGCCATCCATGAAGGGCCTTGATGTAGGCTTTCTGGGCTGTAATGTATTCTGTGAAACGTGCACGCCAATTCAAAAGCTCTGTTTCCAGCTGAAGTGTAGCACGTCGGTGAGATTCATTGCAAAATTTTCCATACGAAGGGCAGGAAAAAAGCTTCACTTCTTGTATGATCTTGTTCTGGATTTCATGGGACTCCAACATAATTTTCCAGGTTTTCATCATGCTGCAATTAAAGGGAGCAGAACAACACAATTCAATAATCAGATTACATTTTTTTCATCTTTTTCTTTTCAAGTAGGTTCACTTGTTCTCAGTTCTTACCCTTTTAGAAGTTCATTCACTTGGGGCAAGAGTTCATCATCTCTGAGTTTCTCGATTTTGTTTGATATTGTTTCAGCACTTCGAATTGCGACAAGGATCCTGCTATATGAATCTTTCACTGCTGCTCTGGTTTTGTCCACTGCCAGTCCATCTCCTCTAGCATCTTGATTTCTTAGTTGATTGCATTTGCTTTCATATATTTTCCTAATTCTATCTCCATCCTAACGGCAATACAAAGTCAAGTACTGGAAAGTTGAAAACTGGTAGAAAGAACAAGAAGTTGCATTGTGCTTTAATTTTCATTTCACATAGGAAACTAAATGAATTATTTATAGAGAAAATATTATTACCATACAAACATCATATGACAAATAATATAAAGAAATGTTTACATCCTAAAGAAGTTGCAGGGAGTTTGGGCTGTAGCTACCTTGACCTCTTCGTAGAGTTTCTTTTCCCAAGCATATAGCCTTCCTAGTGTCAATGAATGGCTTCCAGAAGCCATTCCTCCGTAATCATCAAACAGATCATTATTAAATTCTTTCCATGTCGAAGAGTTCTTGGAATTAGACTCAACAAGACTCTTGCATGACGATGAACGAGAAGCAGACCTCCAGGGAATAGCTTGGATTAGCTTTGTTGAATTCTCTGCATCCACATGAGATATGTGAATGAATTCGAGCGGAAGAGGCTACTTGGAGTAGAAGTTCTGATGAAAAATGGGAATTTACTATTCCATAAAACAGAAATTTAGAAAAAAAAAAAATGGTGGAGAAAGACAGATCCACTCTTTTATATGTGATCATCGAGGGAAAATATTAGTTCAGATTTCATAATATCCTTGAAATATTGGCAGACTGATGTGTTATTTGCATACCAACACTGAACTTAATGTGTATATCTATCTACATAACTTCAAAGAAAAGTAGCTTTTAAGCACATTGTGAATCAGAAAAAGGAAATTAAGCGCTTTGAACTGAAATGCAAGAGAACGGAATAACTGAAAAATGAAGGCATCACTGCCCTATAAAAAAATTGCAATATTGCTCTGCAGACCTCAACAAATCAATAACTGATTCAGACGTTAATTTAAGAAGAGATTCATAATAACAATAAAAAATAATAAAATAATAAAAAAAGCTAAGAATTTGTGAGAAAATATGCCCGAATGCAATGTGTAGAAAGTACTGATAAAGTTTACCTTTTATTTCATCCAGATTAGACTGTAGATGGACCCTGTTGCACTCCAGCATCCTTGATACATCCTTACCAGAATCATAAGCCCTAACAAAATGGTCTTCAATATCTTTTAGGGCTTCCAACAACTCCCTCCCTCTCACTGGTGTATCAAAGACACTCAAACCCTTCTGCAGCTGCTCTGCCGCCTGGCTTACACTAGCACCGCCACCAACCACCGCCTCAATCTCGGTTTCTTCGTGCTCGAAATTGTGCTTTTCTTCACTCTCCACAACTTTTCTCTGTCCTTCCATTCTTTCCTCTTCTTCTTCTTCTTCTTCAAGGTCTGGAATTCCTTCTTGTTCCCTCAATACCCTCAAATCCTCCTCAGAAATCCTATTATAGCCACTTATTATCTCTGGCCTAGATACATTAGAAAAAGGGTTGAAGAAATCCCAACCAAAATCTCTTGCAGGTGAAGGCATTGTCTGAGGCATGTCCATATAAAAATACCCACAAACTTGTGGCTCTTCTTTCTCATGCTTTTCCTCATATTCTTCCTCAGAAGACACTGAACTTGTTGAAGAACTGCAGGATTCACAAGCAATGGCTTCTTTTGCGGGTTCAGAGGGTGTTTGCTGTAGAAACAAAGGGTTAGAAACCACATTTTCTTTTGGAGGAGTGGGGAAAGAAGGTGGTGGAAAGGTAATGGAAAATGGCGCCGGCGGAGAAGAATGGCGAGCAACAAAAAGACTAATAGCGGCGGAGACACCAAAGAGCGATTGACAATATCTATAATGTGCCTCAGCCAGTGCATATCTTCTATCCACAGCTAACTTCAGTTGGTGTTTTCTCTCTCTACATATAGCCACCACTTCCTCCTCCTCTTCTAACTTAGAAGCAACACACCCCATTTTTTTCCCCTCTCCTAAAAAGGTTTCTAGAACATAAAAGAAGTGGGTTCTTGGAGAAAATTCAGGGTTTAAATTGGGTCTTTTTACAGGAAATATGGAGATTTCATTTAGATGACAAATGTATAACCTTTTAGAGGGGATGTAAATTTGAACCAACGCATTTCTTATCTGGACATTTAACGATGATTTCTGCTACAAAAAGGCTTTTAGCCATTTAATTTTTCTAATAGAGAACCGAGTGAAGGGCATCAGCAGAAAAAATGGAGGTGGTCACACGCACAATGAAGTAAAGTTGTGCTGTGCTTGAAACATTAACAGAAGAAGAGGAGAGGTTTCAAATGAATGGAAAAGAATGTCTTTATTTCCTTTATTTAAAAAAAGTTTGAATCCCAATATCAAGGGTCTTCACCGTCTGTCTCTGGAGCATCGTGAGAGATGTTAATTGCGGGATGTGCCCCAATAAATC